CAAAGATACGTAACTCTATTTTTATTTAAGTTGTGTTATATGTCTTGGTCTTACTTCAAAAGCTTTCACTGCGACATATTGATAGTTTTAATCAGTTAAGTTCAAGATACTGTATCGCTCAATCAGAAAATGTAAATTTGATTATATCTTAGATATGGAATTAAGTTTCAGATATATTTACTTAATTCTAATTACGTTATTCTATTTGTTTTGACCCCAAGAACCTTCAGTGAAATACCAGCTTCCATTTGATTTATTGATTACTAGCAACAGTGCCCGTTGTGGTTAAATACAACGGTATCTAGTAAAATAATTGTTATGAAATCCATACACCTCTTTACTCACTAATATTAATGGTACAGTTTAAGCATTTAAAATTAGAATCGCATACTTATCATAATAAACACACTTTAAATACAAATGCAAATTGTTAACAACAACATTTAATCAAAGAAAAATTAATTAGATAACAATATAACAATAAGCTGTTGAATTATGAACACACGTTTCGTATGATTAGATTATGCATACTGGTAAACTAATTATTACCATCTATACAAATAATTGGTTTTTCTTTTCCGAGTCGGGTTAGCTCTTCTACCCGACCGATTTTCATAATTTTTGCCTTAAAGTAAAGGTATGGGCGTACCGCAGATTTGCCATCAAGCATCGGCATTCATTTTGACGTATATTTAGAGTTATGTACAAACTGCCTCACTTACATATCTTATGGGAGTTAAATTTGGTTTCTTCGAGTTCAATGTTTCGCAGGCGGGCGATGGTTTACAGGAGGGCTCTTCTACCCGCCCGATTATCATAATTTTGGTATTAAAATAAAGATATGCAAGCTCATATTTGTCATCAAGCATCATCATTAATTTATCTAATGTATTACTCAACGAAAGAATTGTTCACTTCAATTAAAGATGTATTCTAGCAGTTCTAATTACATTATACATTTTGGTCTAAAAACCTTAAGTGAAATACCAGCTTCATTTGAGCTATTGATTATTAAGATCGGACTACCTAAAGCACACTGCTGAATCACGAATCAACAATAATTACAATCGTTTTAGTAACTATCTGCAATCAATGATACGTAACTCTATTTTTATTTAAGTTATTTTATATGTCTTGGTCTTAAAATACTTCAAAAGCTTTCACTTGAGATATTGATAGTTTTAATCAGTTAAGTTCAAGATACTGTATCACTCAATCATAAAATATAAATTTGATTATATCTTGGATATGGAATTTAGTTTTAGATACATTTCCTTAATTCTAATTACGTTATTCTATTTGTTTGACCTAAGAACCTTCATTGAAATACCAGCTTCCATTTCATTAAGGCACACAGCTAAATCACGACCAACACAAATTGTTCAAAAAATGGAGTTATTTATCATCGATTTGTAGCCAAACGATCTTGCTTGCAACCTCAACAGTACTTTCATAATTATTTGCAAATCTTCACAAATTAGGCTATCCAATGACCTATTAATTAATAAAATCGTTTCAGTAGAACTTTAGATTTAATTGTACAAAGGTTAACAACAACATCTTCAATTCAGTATTTTCTCTCTACTATAAATTTGGAGGTTGCTTAACGTTTTTGCAAATAACTTTGAAAAGGCAAGGAAATCGACCAAAGTGGAAGGTGATATTCTGAAAGAAAATAAAATTTCCTATAAATTACTATTATGTATTCCTTGAAAATACTCAATAAAGGCAGCCGAAAGTTGGCTACAAATATAAAATTGGAAATATAAACTTGGAAAAAATGAGTTTTAAATGTATTATTTTGTATTTTCATTTTTTTCACCTCAAATATATAATAAAATCAAACTTTCATAATTATTTGCAAATCTATACAACCTAAGCTTTCCAACGACCCATTAAATGGTTTAGTAACAAAATCAGTCCGGTAGAAGTCTAGATTTAGTTGTACAAAGTTTAACAAAAATATATCTAATTCAGTGTTTTCTCACCACTATAAATTTGGAGATCAATTAGCTTATTGCCAATAACTTTTAAATGGAGGAAAAATCGACCAAAGTGGATGTGATATTCTGAAAGAGAATAAAATTTACTACAAACAACTACTATTATTCTTGTTAATACTAAACAAATGCAGCCAAAAGCTGGCTACAAATAGAATCTTAAAAACAGAAACTTGAAAAAAGCAGTTTTTAATGTATTTCAGTTTTTTTTTACTTTTTCACCATAAAAATTTAATAAAATCAAATTTTTTTTATTAATTGCATATCTACATGAGTTAGGCTTTCCAATGACCCATTAATTAAAACATTCGCTCCAGTAGAAGTCTAGATTTAGTTGTACAAAGTTTAACAAAAATATCCCAAACTCAATATTTTCTCATTACTATAAATTCGGAGGTTGCTTAGCTTTTTTGCAAATAACTTTGAAACGGTGAGGAAATCGACCAAAGTGGAAGGTGATATTATGAAAGAGAATAAAATTTTCTACAAATTGCTACCATGCACTTCTTGTAAATATAAAAAAAAATGGCAGCTAAAAGTCACACCCAAATAAAAAGTGTGAAAAACACCGTTTTCAATGTATTTCTTATGGAAAACATGTTTTAAAAAAATTTCACCATAAATCATAACAAAAACAAACTTTTATAATTATTTGCAAATCTACACGACTTAAGCTTTCCAACGACCCATTAATTAATAAAATCGGTCCAGTAGAACTCTAGATTTAGTTGTACAAAGATTTTTAAAACTGAATTATATATAGAATAGAATAGATTATCCTATTCACTGTTATTCAATCTTATTCCTGGGGTCCAATTGAGATCTTGGACCGTCCTGTAATAAATTAGTGGCTCATTGTTTCATTGGAAGAATAATATAAAATCCTTAAAGGACAATGCCTGGGATAAACCAAGTGTATGACTGACCTGACCGTTGACCCTACACTACAACACACAATCACTGATACACCACCTTCAATGACTAACTAATACATCACTCACCTCTGCCCACCACTCAACCAATCACATGATTAATAAGAAGCACTTCAGATTCTTCTTGTTTCAGAAAAATATCGTAGTTCAGTTCCAAGTTAGACAAAATTTATATACAGACGTGATAACAATTATTTCCAAGAATGTATTTTCCATTAAAATAAATTACTCCCAACTCATGTCTATGCACAGGCCCCTGCCCCTGTCTATGTAGACCTTTCCCATATAATTTGATAAGGTTTTTTTTTGTGCCATTTAGTTATAATTATAATACACTTTTGTAAGTTATTTTTCAAGTGTCAGGATTGTATAATTTACTATGTAAAATACCACAAATTGTACTTTTCATTTGGGAAATAAAATATTATTTAATTTCATTTCATTTAATACAATTTTGACCATATAAGTATAATCATCTAGTGCTGAGTGTTTAGCGAATTTCCCATATATAGGAAATAAGCTATTACCTTAGGTGGTAGAGTAAGATCTAGACTCGGAACCGATTTGCCTTTTCGATTCAATGTCCCCAGAGGCCAAAATCATTCATAAAAATGTATATAATGTATGCACATATACATACATAACATTTTGAACCGATGGTGTTTTTGGCCTCTGGTGACATCAAGATGAAAAAGTAAATATTTTTCTGTGCTCTTTTATATGTTTGAAGGTATTCTTTGATCTATGATCTTGACCAAAGGTATTTTTCTTCTTTTGTACCATACTGTATTTTGGTTGTATATAAGCTTAATGATCTATATTTTTGAAAATTATTGTTAAAATACTGGGAATGGACAAGATTGGATTTTTAGTTCAAGACGAGACGAGATCGAGACAGGATTTCCCTTCTCATGCATATTGGGAAATGCACGTTCCACATTTTAATCCGATTTTTTTTTTATATGTACTGATTTATGACAGACTGGTTAAATACAAAAATAATAATAATAGAAAAAAAAATTTTAATCTTTTATTAAAAAACATTAACAAAAACATCAGTTAAAAAAATATTAATAAGGCCTAACTTACTAAAAATAACTCTCCGGCATATGAAACATGGAGATATCAGTTAGTATATAGTTGAACTTTGAAAAATACTAAATTTATAAGTCTCAAACGTATTACTAGTAAAGTATCAAGTAGCAATTTTTCAGTCTTGTGTTTTTTTAGAATGATTTTGGAGTAATTTATTTTGGCTGTTTACAGTAGTAAAACATGTCTCACACTGCTTACACTAACAAAACTTCTAATCATTTGCTATGTTTAAAAAAATACTAAACAAATTGAAGCAATAATTCCATCTAAAGAATTAATAATTAAATAAAAACACCTTCGCAAAGGAAACGCAACATCAACACGCTCATGTATTGCGGGTATTGCATTGAGTTTCTGCGGGCGTTATTTTATTATTTTTTTTATTTTACTTTTTTTTTATTAAATTTTTTTTACCTTGTTTTGAAAAAATCTCGACCAAAATAGAATCTCGTCTCGTAGAACGAGATTTAAAATTTCCCGAAAATTTCCTGAAATTTCGAGACCTGTCCATCCCTATAAAACACATTTAAAAAAATGAATTTCGATAAAGTTATTTTTCAATTATAAATAACTGATTATTATTACCCTTGGAAACATACCATTAGAAAATATTAAATTGTTATCGATTGTAATAAATTTTATAATGAATATATAGAATAACATAGTACGGGCGGAGCCGTTACATTAGTTTGAACTCATACAGGTATTATCAAATTAAAATTTGTTTCTTCACAAACCTTCCCACTATTTGTAGGAATAACCTTGGTAGGTTTTAATATGTTCAGCCATTTTTGTGGTTGCGGCATACAAGATTGCATTGAGAGCTTCGCTTCGCTCTGCTTAACTACAGTAGGCCTACTAAGTGTATGCATTATAAGCTATACTCTCAGATATGATATAAAAACTTATTAAACATAGTGAAATTTCATAATAGTTAACATTACTAGTTTAAATAAAAGACTTATTGTGTGATTTCAATTTTATTACTCAATACATTATTTACAATAGGCCTATAAGAGTTATTGTAGAAGGCAGAACATGCCTGAATTGTGTTCTTTAACAGGTGTAGCCAGATTAAATGTTTTCAGCTCATGAAGTAATTCTTTCTTTTCATTATCACTTAAAAAACTGGAATTGCAAGCGTGGATACTCTGAAAAAAAAAAACAATGAAAATTGCAATAAAATGTAGCCTTTAGTCCTCAGATTAGATTATGGCAATAATCATTATACTATAAAACAAAATTAATACTGCCATATGAAATTATACAAATCTGATCTTACTTCAAAAGCTTTCACTGCGACATATTGATAGTTTTCATCAGTTAAGTTCAAGATACTGTATCGCTCAATCAGAAAATATAAATTTGATTATATCTTAGAAATGGAATTAAGTTTTAGATATATTTACTTAATTCTAATTACGTTATTCTATTTGTTTTGACCCAAGAACCTTCAGTGAAATACCAGCTTCCATTTGATTTATTGATTACTAGCAACAGTGCCCGTTGTGGTTAAATACAACGGTATCTAGTAAAATAATTGTTATGAAATCCATACACCTCTTTACTCACTAATATTAATGGTACAGTTTAAGCATATACTGTAACATTAGAATCGCATACTTAACACAATGAACACACTTAAATACAAATGCAAATTGTTAACAACATTTAATCAAAGAAAAATTAATTAGATAACAATATAACAATAAGTGTGCGTCACACCGGTTGGCGTCAAAAGAGGGATTTTGCTTGCTAGATAGATCTGAAAAGCTCACTTTACACGTGTGCACAGTGTATTTTCTACTTGTTCTACTAAGTCTCTTACTAACTTTAGAGTGACTCATGATTGAGGTATAGCTGTTTATGTTTTTGTTCTTTATATTCTTTTATTACAAGTTGCAGATTTGCATGATTTTGAGCAACCGGCTATCTAGTCTATTTCTATTAAATCAATTCTAGATATGTAACTATGTCATACAGTAAATTAAAAGAATCAAATTGTCTCCCTGCAAGTCCTCCCCTGTTGCAATCACAAGGCACCGGCATAAGGTCAAAAAAGACAATACACATATAGGTCAACCCCGTAAGGACAGGTACACTGCTAGTATTTAATTTAGAGATCATATTTTAAACGAATTTATACTTATAAAAGTCAAACACCATTCACCGACCACTTTATCTCAAAAATCTAATAGCCATAAGAACTCAAGAATTGGAATGGAGGTTCCAATTAACCTCTAGGTGTGCAATAAGAAGTGTTTTCATGAAATTCCATCAGGGCTCTGCCCCAGTGGCTTTTAAAGTTCCCATGTTATCCCTATAGAGAAAAGATTTGTTTACATTTGAACACATGAATACTTTTAAATCAGCACTATTAATTAAGGGAACAGCTGGTTATACTGGGTGTCCCAGAAAGGATTGCACTTTTATTTTGGATAAAGCCGAATGTCCAAGAGAGATAAGATAAGAAGCTTATCAGGGCTTTGTAGCCATGCCTGTGGAAAGTCATTTGCCATGGATCTCTTTTCCGGTGAGCAGCGTGATTTCTGTGTACACGATTATTACCAAACACTTTCTTATGTGACAGTTCGACGACACTTCCGCGCTCAATACAGACTTGATCTCATCCAAACGCCATCAGTGAACATAATTAAATGCTGGGCATGCAAATTTGAAGCTTCAGGATCAACTATGAAACCTCGTCCCATCGATCACCATAGAGAAGTGCCATTCTGAATAAAATATCGAGCGTGTTTGAGATGCTGTGGAGGATAATCCACATTGATCGGTAAGAAAACACTGCTGCTTTGAATATACCCCGAACCAGTATTCACCGTATTTTGAAACAGGATTTGAGGTTACACCAGTACAAAATTCAGTTAGTACAGGCATTAAAAAAATACAGCATGGGTATACAGCAGGAGTCTCCATGACTGCAATAAAGCAGCTTTTTCGTGGGAAAGTCATTTCCAGATTTGGTGACACCAACTTTCCATCGAGAAGCCCAGGCCTAACTCCACTAGACTTTTTTTGTGTGGGTAGTCGGGTGTACAACAACGCTCATGCTACCCTCGATCATCTGCAAAATATTCGTGAGTAAATTGAAGCCATCACACCAGAACTTTGTCATCAAATCTTCGCAGATGTAAGGTTTCGTTTGGTGGAGTGCCCGGCACCGTAGAGATCTACATCTGGATGATGTGATTTTTCACAAACTAATTTCCTACACTTCAAGGTATTGTTGGAAAAATTTCTGTAAATAAAGCCATTTTCCTGTTTTGTTCGTTTTTAAAGTGCATTCCTTTGTGGGACACCCAGTATTTTATTGGGTGAAATGATAATATTTACATTATTTTTGTGGCTTAAAAAATTGTTTGACTGAATAACACAATTTTTTTTACCCAAATACTAGAATATTTTTTTGTAATTTTCCGAAAATTCTAGAGTTTTACCATTGACTATGAATCCTTAAAAGACAACGCATCTAGTAATAAAAAGCGTACCCAGCAAAATATCCTAGCGGAGATTAGCAGAACTAGTTCAGTACCTCTATGCGGTGTCGTTCCTAGCGGCAATGGCTGGAAACTCGTGTTGTAAGTGCTGCGCGCGCACGCGTGCATCCCCGCTCCGCTGCCGACACTCCAGCCAGGTCGCGGTCCTCTTTGATCTCCCTACCGTCCGACTCACCGGCGCCGCCGCATGGTTCGCCTCCATAGGCCCTGCGCGGTGATCGATCCCTTCACAATATTCTCTAGGCAAACGCGTGGTCGTTTTTATATATTATATTAATTATATATAAATTAATGTATTTATTATATGCATTATTATTATCACGTACACAGATTTATGCTATATTCGAACCTTCGTAAAAATAGATCCAGCTGTCATTACTGCTATAAATATGGCCGTTACAAATGCTGGTAGATTGGTCATGTACAGCAACAAAAAGCTGTAATAAACATTGAGAACTGTCAAAGTAGGATTGTTTTTAGTTATGTTTATGTTCTAATAAGAAATATGTGATATTGTGCATGTAGAAATTGGTGTAGAAATGTGTGGGGTAGAAATTGGTTTTTCCCATTTTGTCCCAAAAAACATATGATTTAGCCATTTGTTTCCAAACCATTTTGTAGAGCTTAAAAACCCAAATAATTTAGTATATTGAAGTGTTATTATGCATCTAATGGTTACGGAGAAATAGTTATTTGTGCAACTAGTGAGCAAAGGGAGCAAAAATTGACTCACTCGAGAGAAATACTTAGGCCTACTCATGAGCCATAGGCGAGTGAGGAATGGTTTCCCGAGTGAGCAGTGAGGCAATTGCACTTTGCACTCGAGTTGTACATTATATTTTTCCTACAGTTACCATAAAACAAATACATTGGTAAAGATAGTGACATATTTTAACACAAAATTGAACTTTTAATATGACAATTAATGATACAACAGTACAACAGCTTACCAGCTGATTTACAGCCAGTGCTGCCAACGTATTTCACGCGCATACGACCTTGTCTGCATGTTACGCTCACTTATTTCATTTCGTGCCTTCACGTTGCAAATCTGGAGTGAGACAAAGTAATTAGAGTGAGACAATGTTCGAATTGGCCACTTTGCTTTCTCAAATCAGTGAGAGAACATTGTTAGGTAACTGTAGGAAAAAATTTTAACTAAGAATTCCCATGTTATTCTTATGGAGAACAATTAAACTGTTGTAGTTAGCTTGTTTATGAACATTAATTAAATTTATAAAATACATACACCTACATTTCTAATAAACAATAAAACTTTATTTATACATTTCAAACAATTCAACATATGACTATGATTTTCAAACAAATATAAATGTTTAACAAAAATAAAATGAAAGCTCAATAGAGCAATGGGGGAATTGCGGCACCATCTTCAAATTGAATGCTTCGAATTTTTCGTCTAGTTCCCCGTAGCCTTAGCGAAACTGCTCGAATGATGGAAAGCTGGCTTTGGATCCTCAACCATCCGATAATTTGGGAGTATGGTTTTCTCCATTTTACAGCCAGGGCTTCGCTTGTTCTCCTCTGAAACGCTTCATATTCTTTGTGGGGGACTCCTTCCGTGGAACATATTAATGGTGTGAAGCTTCCTCTGATGTCTTCGGCTGCTTTGTCATATTTATTGTGTTTCTGAACGGCATGGTTTCGAGATATTGTTCCCCATTCTTGGTTGGCGTAAGAGGGAGCGTCAGCATTAACAATGCGATTATCAAAAAACGCTACTCTCTCAGCCTCCCAAATACTTTTAAATCAGCTTTTAAAGCAGGCACATTGTTTGCAGGGTCAGTTTCTCTCATAATAGGCTCGACTTCAACCCCTTTCCAGGCCATATTTGCTATCGCAGCACAGTGGTCTCGATGTTGATCATGCCCATGTTTGATCAATCCTCCTTTTTTACAATTTAATGCATGTGTTAGATTCATAGGTTGATCACAACCATCACATCGTACTGGTAAATTTCTTAGTGTGCGGCCATAGCGAATTGACAAAGCATCTCTGAATTGATCCGGGGACAAATCCGTATGATCAGATGCACATGGTGTCACAGTTAACCATTGGCTAGTATTCCCTGCTACAATTCTAATTATTGGCTTCTTTTGACTTTCAGGAAGTAATTCCATAATTCGTTCATTATTTGCTTTAGCCAACATGTCTTTTTCTAGTTTTCTCTTCTTTATTACATCTTGTAGTGTTGATACATGATCATTAATCTTTAATGGTTGTCCATTTTTAATGGCTAATATTAATTTTTCTGTGCATTGTTTTGATGCTTCAAATGAAATACCATCGTTCTTTGTCGGGTCCTGAATATTTAAGCCTCCAAAACGAGTAGGGAGAGAGAACAAGTCATGTTCAAGCTCAGAAATCTCTTGTTCGAAAAGGTTGGGAGTGAAATGGCGATGTATGGCAGTTTTTAAATCTTCGTATTCTTCACTAAATCCCTCTGTTACTCTTTGGAGAAATGCCCATTCATTTTGTAATGACTTAGTAAAGGCAGTATACGCTGCTTGAGGACTTTTATGTGCAGCTATGCCAAATTTCTTTATACAATCAACCCATTTTTTTACTTTTTCTTTCACGAATTCCTTCTTTTCTTCTGAGCTACCAATAATACC